TAAAATATTAAAATAAAAATAATTTTTAATTTCATATAATACTTAATTTTTTATAATACAAACCGATATTTACTAATATCTAATTATTATATTGTTTTCAAATTAAATAATATGCTTCACGGGTAAACCTGGTAATTTTTTACCCAACCCGTTAACACGCCCATTATCTGCCCGTTTAAAATGGGTTAGGGTCATATATTTATGACCCATGACCCGTTAATGACCCGTTAAGAGAACCTAACGGGTCACGGGTCAATAATGGGTTGATCCATCGGGTTAATAAGTTTGACCTGTTTATTCATTTAAAAATATAAATTTTTTAATTTATTATTTATTTATTTTGTTTTCCAATTCTCAATCCCACCTAAACCTCTAATAATTTACTAATATTCCCTAATTAACTAATTTGATTCTCTTGACTCATTATCTTCTAAAAGTAAAATTAATCCTACTCCACTCATAACTCACCTTCCGACCTTTCCTATTTTTGCTTGCCCTAATACTCTTGAAGACTCTAACTCTTCGAACTTCAAACTCTTCTCACATTCTTCAACCTTCATAGTTCATACAGCATTTTGACTTTCAAATTTCGACTCTACATTTTCTTTTTAGTCTTTAACATTATTTCAGACTTAAATCTTAGTCTTATCGAGTCACTATTGCGTCCACTCAGGCTTTTCTTTTTTTCTCCTATGAGTCCAGCAAGTGCTCTTTTTGTCACCAACTTTTCTCTCTAAATATTTCAAGGTAAGTTGTTTACTTATTTATGCTTTTTAGTTTTCTTTCCATTCCAAGTAAAAATTTTACTTGATTTTCTTCTTTACTTACTTAGATGCATTCAATTGATTATTCTTGAAAAGCAATGACCAAAACAAATATGTTCCAATGGGGTTTGTGTTTTTTGGTTGTTATGCTACTACTGTTTTTTTTTCTTTGGCTATTGAGATTTATAAGTGTTATGTTCTTGAATTTGATTAACCCTGTTTTTTAAAGGGAAATAAAAAAGGTGATTTTGAGAAACTATAAATATGTATATATTAAATTATTTAAAAAAATTATTTTTATAAGATGTTGAATTTCTTTTTTAAATTTTTTGAATAAAATTTTTTGAATGATAATCGGTATAAATTATAGAGA